TTGACAAATAAAGAGACATAAAAGTGCAGTCGAGGCAGTAAAACGTTGGTAAATTGCTCGTTGGCGTATTCATAAAATAATTATTAGTAAAAATCAGTTAGATTAGCAACTTCTAATATAAAGAAAAGCCAGTGCGTTTTGGTAACACTACATTCTAACAATTGTTTTTATGTCGTGTCCCACAGCAACAAAAGTATAACCTAATATTGTTGTTAGTATAAAATTAAATCTATAGACAACAAGCCCCCTAGTGGCACAGCGGTATGTCTGCGGACTTACAACGTTAGAATCCGGGTTTCGATACCTGTGGTGGTCAGAGCACAGATAGCCCATTGTGTAGCTTTGTGCTTAATTACAAACAAATAAACAAACCCTTGTATGTAATTGCAAAAAAACGCAAAAACGCCCCAAAAAACTGAAAAATACAAAATGTGAAACCGCAAGTTTGCATGTATCTCCGGATGGACCAAACAAACCTTCATGCCAAATTTGGTGAAGATCCATCAACAGGGGGAGAATTTGCGGTAAAAAATGCCCATAAAAACCGCAAAATGCAAAAGGTTAATATTTGTATGTATCTCTCCATGGACCAAATGAACCTTCATACCAAATTTGGTGAAGATTCATCTACAGAGGGCGAAGTAATGGTAAAAAATGTAAAAATGCCTATAAAAACCGCAAAATGCAAAACTGAAAATTTCTATATACCTTCGCATAGACCAAATCAACTTCCATGCCAATTTTGGTGAAGATCTATCCACACCCTGCCAAGTAGTTACATGGACATACGAAAGACAGTATTATTACATTTATAGAGCTTTCTTAATTTAAATTCTCCATTGCTTAAAGAGATTTGTTTTTTATTTAATTTCAAAACAAATTAATTTTAAAATGAAATCGATTTTTTTACTTTTATAATAAATTTTATGCACTTGGCTCTAGGCTAGGTGATCCCACACTATGTCTTTACTTTAGGCTTATTAAACAAATTCTCACTACACTTATAAAGTTTCATGGTCCCCTTACACTCCTGCCACTAAAATCGTAATAGGAAAACAGTTATCGAACTAATCTATCTGGATAAATGCATTTTGGCTTTTATGACGTCTCCTTTTCTGAAAAATCAAGCATGACGTGACAACACAGTGGCTTTTATATAGGTTAGATAATCGTATATTTTAGTATAAAAAATAATTTTTTAATAAAAAACACTGTGATTTCGTAAAGATCCAAGTTTTGATTTTTTAGAAATTGAACGAGCAGTTCAGATATACTTGAACCGTGTCCTTTAAATTTCCAAAATAATATTATAGAGAAGATTCCTGATCTGAACATAACTATTTTAATAAAACTATTTATTGACATATAACTGTAAGTTGAAACAAAATTATCAAGTTTACATTAATCATGATCGTTATAATTAAAAATTCCAGTTTCCAACACCAGATTACGCTCTAATGAAAATATCTATAAACTTTAGGGAATGTATTACGTAGATATGTACAATTACAAGATAGTGTTTATGCTAATTTTATATTTTTAAACATTGGCAATTTTGTTTTAGGGAAGGGTTCCAAAAAAAAAAAGGTATGTCATTATAAATATATAGACATATGTGCTTAAATCTGTTTCTTTGTTTGTATTATTCCAAAAACTTAACTGCACGTCACTTACAACTTTACAGTTACAAATACAAGTTACGCTGTTAGTGTTACACTTTGACATTCTGGGTTAGTCGTAATGACTAATGTTATTCAGTAATATATTAGGCCTATTTAGGCTACAGCCATAGGGCATCTAATTCTGTACAGAAATTATACTATAAACTATAGTAAAGTTTCAATTAAAATAATTTTATCCCCATAAACAGCATTAAAAAGTTATGAAGAGATGGTAACTATGTTGCTTATTGAATTTATTGTTATACTAGAGCAACATTTTGCTTCTAGTTTCTGTCAACGCTATAAATAAGTAAAAAGTAAAACAGACATTTGTTGTGTAAAACTAAAAGTAAAACCTTAGTAAAACTGAAAGATGCTATTCCCATAATGTTAGTATAATAATATTTTATTAAACTCTAAATTTAGTTATGGCATTGATAAAACTTATAGATTTGATAATAAACGAACCACACTGTTTTGCTCATTCAATCCAGGTTTAAGTCTTCTGAGCAATTAACTTCTTGAAATGCAGTTCATAGGCTAAACAACATGATTACTTGGATTTGTTCATATACCACATCATTAGAATATAAGGTTTGAAGGTGGGGGTTCAAATCGTATACCTGAAAAATGACCTAACTTATGTAACTAGTTTCAAAACAAAAATAACTTGTGTAGAAAGACTTATTGGTTAAATAATCTTGAATAACATGATTTATAATGACAATCATAGCAAGCTATGTAGTTAAAGCATAACTAAAAATTAACCCGGAATCGGTATAGCTAATTAGATACAAGTTTTTTCATGTTTCTACCTATAAGTTCCGTCAGTTGGGTACTCCCTCTGTTAAAATAGTTTTGCTTTATTTTCAATAATATCTCCCACAATTTGGTCAGTTTAGGAGATTTAGGCTAATCCTAAATATATAACATGCAAACCAATCTATCTTTGTGATAAAATTATAATAATAAGCAATCAACCAAAATAAAAGCTGATGACATTTGATATCTTAAATACTCTAACCAAGATTACTGATGAAAATAACAATAAAAATATACCTTACTTAGGTACGCAACTAAATTTGTAAAATTAGAGACTGAAACTAAAGAAATTAAATTAATGAGATATCTACTGAATTTAAAAATGTATTAATTTAAAATTAATATAATAAAATAAAAATAATGTTTTCTCATTTTGGTATAACTTATAGAGTTTGGTAATCAGTGGAATGTCATAACTAATTATCAGGCCCACAAATATATTCAATTAATCAGTTATTTTCAAACTTGTATAGTTGGAATATTTAGAAACACTGATTTTCATTAGTTGTTTATTTTCATGAATCATGACGCTAATCGATTAAGCTAAACAAATTTGAATTAACTGACAGTAATAATGAGAAATTATAATTACTTGGTTAATTGGAATAATAACTGAAAACAATGAAAATCAGAAACACCGATTTTGATTAATTGATTTAATTTATGATTTAGTTCATTTGTAATTTTGATTAATCAGTTATTTCATGTGACATTAATTGATGTATTCATTCAAATAAACAAGTTAATTGTTTGGCTTTATTAACCTTTATGCTTTTTCTTCAGTCATGCTTTGTGTGATTTCCATCTATATTAAATTTGTGATCCAAGCTGTGATAACTGAAATGCAATTCCTATCACTTGGGTTAAAAGTAATTTGTCGATTATTTCTCTAGTTTATCAGTTGATTCAAGTCATTCTGTAGTACCTTATTACTGCTAGAAATACCCAAAAGTTTGATATCGTCAGTATACTTTGCTAATTATGCCCCTATCAATAACGTTAATATATGTATAAGAAAAGGCAAAGCCCTGGTACTCAGTAATTCAGGAGCTTGGTATTTTATGCTTGAAATTCTAATTTCATTCATCAAATTTTCATGTAAGGACTAGTTTTTATTAGGTAGTAGCTCTTAGTGGTGCAGACAAGTATCTAACTGATATACATTTTCAGGTAAGGAAAATGTTAGGATGGTAGTATGGCCTTTGAAGGTTTATACAGGAAAGCTCATATTTATTATATGTTAAGGACAAGCAAAATGTTAGGATGGCAGTAGGGCCTTCGAAGGTTTATACAGGAAAGCTCATATTTATTATATGTTAAGGACAAGCAAAATGTTAGGATGGCAGTAGGGCCTTCGAAGGTTTATACAGGAAAGCTCATATTTATTATATGTTAAGGATAAGCAAAATGTTAGGATGGCAGTAGGGCCTTCGAAAGTTTATACAGGAAAGCTCATATTTATTATATGTTAAGGACAAGCAAAATGTTA